GTCAGCCAGCTCTGAAAAGTCCATCATCTTCATCTGCCAGTCTTCCACTGTTGGTACTTCTTGTATTTTCCAATTCTTAGCTAATAAAATTCGAGCAGCAGTTGTGGCATACAAAAATAATTTAACATCTTTCTTGGGCAATTCCAAACCTGTTGCAAAAATGCCTCATATTGGATCAAGATGGGGGATTCCTGGAATGGCAGATCGGGCCTCGGACCCCCAGTTCGAAACATGACATTGGAGCGGGAGATCCTCTGGAACTGTATCTCAGCATTGACCTCATCCCCCAGTGCCCAGTAGCACAATTCAGTCTGGCTTTTTCCCAATCTGCTGCCACAAATCGCAGCTGCCTGCTCAGCTGTGGGTGGGTGTAGAGAGCCAGTGTGGTGTAGTGGTTAAGAGCGGTAGTCTCATAATCTGGGGAACCAGGTTCGCGTCTCCGCTCCTCCACATGCAGCTGCTGGGTGACCTTGGGCCAGTCACACTTCTCTGAAGTCTCTCAGCCCCACTCATCTCACGGTGTGTTTGTTGTGGGGGAGGAAGGGAAAGGAGAATGTTAGCCGCTTTGAGACTCCTGAAGGGGAGTGATAAAGCAGGATATCAAATCCAAACTCTTCAATAAAGCTGGTGGGTGGGTGTAAGATGGAGACTGAGTCATGGGCCATGTGAATGCTTTCAGTTTTCCCCTCCTTCATGCCACAGCAAGGCTGCTGTGCTCCTCGCTCAGCCCGGTGTGCAGAAACTGTGTGGCATGTGTGTGTGGGAAGGGGTAGGTCTGTGATACAAAACACTGCAGTCAACTTAGGACAAGTTTTCTTATGTCTGGGATGATCCTGCACAGGGCCTTTTCTGTTGTAGCACCTTGTGAGGGATGAGAGGAGTGGTGGTCCAATACAGTGGTACCTCGTGTTAAGAACTTAATTCGTTCTGGAGGTCCGTTCTTAACCTGAAACTGTTCTTAACCTGAGGTATCACTTTAGCTAATGGGGCCTCCCGCTGCCGCCGTGCAATTTCTGTTCTCATCCTGAAGCAAAGTTCTTAACCCAAGGTACTATTTCTGGGTTAGCGGCGTCTGTAACCCAAAGCATCTGTAACCTGAAGCGTCTGTAACCCGAGGTACCACTGTATCTGAAGTGCCATGTGTTCCTCACACCTCTGATGAGCAAAGGAGAAGACCCTGACCTTTACAGGTAGCATTCAGAGAGTGTCATGGTAGAGTCACAGGAGGACGGGAAGCAGACTGTACCACATTACAGTGGTACCTCGGTTTACGAACTTAATCCGTTCCGGAAGTCCGTTCTTAAACCAAAACCGTTCTTAAACTGAGGTGTGCTTTCCCTAATGAGGCCTCCCGCTGCTGGTGCCCTTCCACCGTTCGGATTCTGTTCTGAGACCAAGGTAAAGTTCACAGACCGGGACACAATTTCTGGTTTTGCAGAGTTCGTAAACCGAATAGTTCGTAAACCGGGCTGTTCTTAAACCGAGGTATCACTGTATTATTATTAATTATTACTACACACACACACCCTGCCTTTTCCCCTGTCAAGCTGCAGGTGGGGTGGTGCTATTTGGCCATGCTCTCCCCTCATACATCATCATCATCATCATTATTATTAATAATAATAATAATAATAATAAAATTTCTATACTGCCCTTCATCTGGAAATCTCAGGACAGTTCACAACATAAAATTACATTATAAAAACCACAAAATGCATAGTAAAAATAAGAACAAGCCAATAAACCCCCCCCTTTCCCACAAACACATTTAAAATTGGACTCTCACCTGACTCTGCTGACTCACGGCAAGGTTCAAAGTCCTGCATTCCCATACCTTCTTGTCTATAAAACCCCCGAAGGAAAACAAGAGTATTTGTTCTGTGTGAGAAGTTATTACCTCACAGGAACAGGTCAAAGAAAACTTTAAAACATGGGGGTGGGGATGTGGGAGCCCTGACCCCCATGGCGAGTTGACAGGTTTAGACATTGGGGAGAGGGGCATTTGTCACTCCAGGAATTCCCACCCGCCCCATGGCTGGTGTAATGTATCAAGACCAGGTTCCCACAGCTCTGCAGTAAGTTGCCATCTCCCCCTTCTCATGGGCCTGTTAGCAGCTGCACATCTGGCAGAAATCCAACAGGTGAT